GTCCCCCGCGGCCGGTCGGGGCAGCCAGCCTTCTGGGCTGCGCCTCGGCCCCCGGGTCTCCGGGACGAGCCCAGGGCGGGGGCGGGCGCGGGGATCGTGCGCCGAGTGCGCGTGCCGCCTCGCGCGGGGCCGGGCGCTGGCCAGATGCTGAAGCGAGCAGCTGGGGCCGGGGCCCGGGCGGGGCTGGGCGTCCTCGACGGATGGCCGAGCTGAGGGGCCCTAGCGGCCACCCCCCCCCCCCGCCTTCTCCCCCAGGAGCAGGAGGCGTCAGCAGCCTTGAGGAGCTCCAGCCCAAAGTGCGGAGGGGTCAGGCCCCTGGCTCCCCACGTTTCTTTCCGCACCTCACTCCCCTCGCGGCGGACCACCGGCCTCCTCCAAGAAGACGCTGGCTCCCGGGCCCTCCCCTGCCACCCCTTTCAGAGTCTCTGACATCCTAATAGATATGCTTTCAACTCCCTGGTCTCGGGTTTTCAGGATGCACAACTCCGTCCTGGGGGGGGCCCCCCCACCCCCCAAGCATATCCCAGGCCTTCCTGTCAACACGAATTGAATCAGTTCCGAAATCTCAGTTCAGAGATCCTTTGTTCCACCGTCCACTCAATAAAAACTGAAGAGAGCCTGCTGTGTGCCCTCCACGCATCCATCCATCAGCGGCTCCGAAACACACCTGCTAGACGCCAGGCGCTGGAATCCCAGCTCTGCCTTCCTGGAGCGGACATTCTTACCCAAGGAGTGGCAAACGCTTACTTTGTGCCAGACACTGCTCTACTGCATTCACACACAATTGGTTCATTCGGCTAAGAAGCCTCACTCCTGGTGAGTGACAGAGGGGATAAAGCAAAGGTTGGACACTGTCCCCTTCACCAGTTCATGCACATGCAGCACCCGGGGGCAGTGTTCAAGATGGCAAGTGACAGTGGAAGAGGCTTTTCTACCATCGAGTCAGGGTTGACCTGTCAGGAAATCATCCTCGCATGGACCTGAATGTCGTAGAGAAGTGAGATGTGCCAAGTGAGGTGAGGACAGAGCACAGAGGCCCAGGCTGGCAATCTTGGAGCTGTGCTGATGGAGATATGGGCTCCAGCTTCTGTTCCAAGTGTGATGGGACATCAGAGAAGAGTTCTGAGGAGAGACACCATCGTGACTCCTGTTCTGAAAGAATCCCTCTGTCTGTTGAGTACAGAATAGGCTGCAGGGTTTGGGGTGTGTTTTGCCCAGGATGCATTCAGAAGTTAGCAACTCAAGTCCCAGCTGTGGTTTACACAGTACAGTTTTAGCCTCACCGAATAAAAAGGCATAAAGTATCCCATTTCAGGAACACAAACTCTTTCCATCCTTCCTCCCTCCCATGGTCACAGTGTACGGTTTTTGTCTTCATACTTCTCAAACCTCATGGCCCAAGGTGGCTGCTGTAGCACAAAGCATCCCATCTTTATATCACCATCTCAAATGAAGAAAGAGAAATGTGTAAAAAGGACATCCATTTTTAAAAAATAAACATATAAGAGGGACTGGGTGACTCAGTCAGTTGAGCGTCCAACTCTTGATTTCGCCTCAGGTCATGATCCCAGGGTCGTGGGATCAAGCCCCATGCCAGGTACTGCGCTGAGTGTGGAGCTTGAGATTCTCTATCCTTCTTCCTCTGTCCCTTTCCCCCACTCACTCTTTCTTTCTCTCTCTCTCTCAAAAACAAAAACATACCCTTTTATAACAAAGGAAAGGTTTCTCAGCAGCTCCCCAACAAATTTCTCTTTAAGTTCTATTGGGCAGGGTTGCCTGGGTGGCTCAGTCAGTTAACCGTCTGACTACTGATTTCAGCACAGTTCATGAGATCAAGCCCCGTGGTGGCTCTGGGCTAACAGAACAGAGCCTGCTTGGGTCTCTCTCTCTCTCTCTCTCTCTCTCTCTCTCTCTCTCTGCCCCTCCCCCACTTGTTTTCTGTCTCTCTCTCTCTCTCTCTCTCTCTCTCTCTCTCTCAAAATAAATAAACTTTTTTTAAAAAATTGGGGTCCCTGGGTAGCTCAGTTAAGCATCCGACTTCGGCTCAGGTCATGATCTCATGGTCTGTGAGTTCGAGCCCCGCATCAGGCTCTGTGCTGACAGCTCGGAGCCTGGAGCCTGTTTCCGATTCTGTGTCTCCCTCTCTCTCTGCCCCTCGCCCGTTCATGCTCTGTCCCAAAAATAAATAAACGTTGAAAAAAAATTTTTTTTTTTAAAAAAGAAAGAATTTTGTATCTCACATAAAAGTGGAGATGGTGAGTGGATATTGCAAGGAATGTTCACACGGCAGGTCACAGCTGGAGACACAAATCTGGAAGCCATGTTAATACTTCATGTCTGTCCCTCCTGTTGTCTCTGTCCTGCCCCAGTCGGCTCTGTGCCATGTGCTGGCTGTGTAGACCACACCAGCTCACTCCCTCAACCTCCCACTCCCGGTGGTACTTGGCTGGTGGGGGCGAGGTCAAGGCTTGTATTCCTCCAGCTCCCTCCTGCTGGCTCACCCGGGGTTGGCCATAAGCCTCACCTGCGGGTCCCAGCTCCTGCCATCCCCTTCCGGTGGCCACCGTCCCTCGTTGCTGCCGGCCTGGGAACAATACCGACACCGGTTATTCTCGAGGTTTTGTTAGACCCTGCACAAGTCACAGTAGCCAGTCCTCTAGAGGGGGCCATCCTGCCAGACCACTGCCTGAATCAGAAGTCATCTCTGAGGGAATAAGCAGACGCAGAGAGAAAAGAGCCCTGGGGGAGGGGAGGGAGCTCAGAATCAGGTAGATGAAAAGGAGCCTGAGAAGGTTCGGGAGAGTAGAGTTTCCAGGGCCTTGGGACGAGCGTGTGTCAAGAGAGGGCTTATAGTCACCTGGCAAATTCTGCTGAGCAATCCAGAGAGGTGAAGGACAACATCCAATCGTCAGCAAGACAGAGGCACCTGTTACCTTGATAAAAGCAGTTTCCATAGAAGAGTTAGAAACACCTGAGTGGACTGGATTAAACAGGATGACTCGTGAGGAGCTGCCTACAGCAGGGCACACACCTTGTGCAGCAAGCTGTTGTACGAAGGGGAACAGAGACGACATGAAACACTACAGCTAAAGGAGGTGTGGCACTCAAGGAGTCAGTGTGTTTCTTTCAAGAAGGGGTTGCTATCGGACTTTATGTGCATAATTACTCAACAGAAAGAACAATTGGTGGTGCGGGGAGGGCGTGTTGCCTCCTCCGGGCCAGAGGGCCCAGGACCTGGGAGAGTTCCTTGGTTGTAGCAGAAGGGAAGACAGACCACGGGGCTGAAGGCACAGGAGGGGTGGTAGGTTAACTGGGTGGAGGATGAGGGCTGTCTTCTGATCGCTCTCTTTTCTCACTGAATTAAGAAACAAGATAATCCACAGACAGTGAGAAGGGGCGTTGCAGGTTGAAAGGAGGAGCGGGTTAAAAAGCTCTTCCAGGGGAACGAAAGAGAGAATTCACTGGGAAATGTAGTGGGGCAGGCAGCTCTGAGGCTGAGTGGGGTGCAGAGGGGAGCGTCGTTAGGCTAGGAGGCTGGAGCCTGTTACCTGTTGATGACACTATTCTTCCCCCCCCGCCCCCGGGCCTTCCCTGCACCAGGTCTCAGTGCTTCCTACCCCCCAACGCCCTCCTTTCCTGGCGGGGCTCCCTGGTCCTTCGTCCTCCATCCTACTCACTGGCAAAAGGCCCCACCTTGAACCTCCAGGGGCACCCTCACGAGTCTAGCAGCTGCAGAGGGCCACACACTGGATAGACCTGCATCACCCGCAGTCCCCCAGGACATCCTCAGGGGTCTCCAAGTCCGTCCTGCCCCATGCTTGGCAGCGGTGTTGACGTCATGCTCCGCTGTCCTTGAAACTCGGCCCCCTGCCCACTCTTGGAGGGTAGGAGCCTTGCTCGCCTCCGTCCACCATACCTGGAAGCCCAGCACCTCCTCAGGTACCCCCTTCTTTTTCCCCAACTTCACTGAGATGTCACTGCCAGCGAACATGGTGTAAGTTTGAGGTGTTCGGTGTGATGATTTGACACACGTATATTTTGCAAAATGATTACTAGTCAGGTTGGCTAACACATCTGTCACTTCCCACAGTTACCTTTTCTTTTGTTGTGATAAGAAGGCCTGCGACAGCTGGAAGTTTATACCTTTGGACCAACATCTTCCTGTTGCCCACTTCCCAGCCCTTGGCGGCCGTCATTCCACTCCCTGTTTCTCGGAGTTGAGCTCTTTGAGATTCCACAAGTCGGTGAGACCATACAAAGTTTGTCTTTCTGCATCTGGCTTACTTCCTTCAGCACCGTGCCCTCAAGGATCATCCACGTTGTCAGGGATGGCAGGGTTTCCTTCTTTTTTTATGACTCTGCTCACAATGACATTTCATTGTATGTATGTCTCACATCTTATTATTTATCTGTACATAGAGACTTAGGGTGTTCCCATGTCCTGGCTGTGTGAATAAAGCTGCGGTGAACATAGGGCGCAGACATCTTTCCAAGATCCCAGTTCCATTTCCTTTAGGCTAATACCCAGAAGTGGGATTGCTGGATCATATTGTAATTCTATTTTGAATTTTTTGAGGAACCGCCACACCGTGCTCCACAGCGGCTGCACCATTTTACATTCCCACCAATGGTGCACAGGGCTTCCCCCTTCTCCACCTCCTCACCGGCACCTGTCAGCTCTTGTCTTTTTGATGACGGCCACCCTAATAGTCGTGATACCTCATTGTGCTTCCAGTCTGCATCTTTCTGAGGGTGAGTGTTGTCGAGCAGCTCTTCATGAAATGGTTGGCTATTTGTATGTCATCTTTGGGAAGTCCTTTGCCCATTTTAAAATTAGATTATTTGGGGTTTTTTGTTTGTTGGCTATTGTACATGTTTCCTACATATTTTGGATATTGGCCCCTTATCAGGTATGTGGCCTCCAAATATTTGCCCCACTTTGTGAGCTGACTTTTCATTTTATTGATGGTTTCTTTTGCTGCGCAAAGCTTTTTATTTCATTAAAGATTTTATTTTTTAAGTAACCTCTACACCCCATGTGGGCATGAACCCACAACCCCAAGATCAAGAGTTGCACACCACCGACTGAGCCAGCAGGGCACTGCTCACACAGAAGCTTTTCAGTTTGATGTCCCACTTGTGGATTTGTGCTTTTGTTGCTTCTGCTTTTGGGGTCGTATCTAAAAAATTTTTGCCAAGACCAACGTCGAGGAGATCTTTACCCATGTTTTCTTGGAGTAGTTTTATGATATCAGGTCTTACATTTAAATTTTTAATCCATTTTGAGTTCACTTCTGTGAGTGGTGTAAGATAGGAGTCCAATTTCATCTTTGTGCATGTGAATGTCCAGTTTTTCCAACACAACTTATTGAAAAGACTATCCTTTTTCCGTCGAGTATTCTTGGCTCCCTTGTCAAATATTAGTTGACCGTATATGTGTGGGTTCATTTCTGTGCTCTTGTTTCATTGGTCTATTGTCTGGGTTTTTTTTTTAAGTTTATTTATTTATTTTGAAAGAGATAGAGACAGAGCGCACGAGTGGGGGAGGGGCAGAGAGAGTGGGAGACCGAGAATCCCAAGCAAGCTCCATGCTCTGAGGTCTCAGCACAGAGCCCGACACAGGGCTGGAACCCACGGATCATGATATCATGACCTGAGCCAAGGTCAAGGGTCGCACACTTAACCAACTGAGCCACCCAGGTGCCCCTCTATTGTCTGTTTTTATGCAAGTACCATACTATTTGGATTCGTATAGCCTTGTAATATAGTTTGAAATCAGGAAGTTTGATGCCTCCAAATTTCTTCTTTCTCAAGGTTGCTTTATCTGTTTGGGCTCTTAGATGGCTTTGGATAGTATGGACATTTTGCAGTGTTAACTCTTTCGACCCATGGACACAGAGTATGGGGCGGGGATGTCTTTGCATTCATTTGTGTCGTCTTCAATTTATCAATGTCTTGCAGTTTTTGATGTACAGATCTTTGATCTCCTTGGTTAAACTTATTCCTAAGTATTTTATTGGTTTTGGTGCTGATGTAAGTGAGATGTGCCTCCCCTTCTAGATCCCACCTTTGGCACTGCATGTTGGGTTCTCATGTGGGGACTGGGGGAGAGAGAACTAAGCAAATTTTTTTTGTTTTTGTATAAATTAACGCCTAATTTCTTAAATATTTTATTATTTTATTTTTGAGACAGCATGCAAGCAAGGGAGAGGGGCAGAGGGAGAGAGAAAATCTTAAGCAGGCTCCACACTCAACATACAGCCTGATGCGAGGCTTGATCCCACGACCATGGGATCATGACCTGAGCCAAAGTCAAGAGTTGGACACTCAGCTGACTGAGCCACCAGGTGCCCCAATGTTTATTTTTTTTAAATAATAAAGGTAAATGCTACATGGAGCCAAGACTCCCACACCTCAGACTTACCTGCATCCCCTCAGTGTTCAAATACTGTGCCGCCTCCCCTTCTGAATTAGCAGCCCACATGCCCTGTTTGCCCACCCCCTGCTCTTGGCACCCTCCCTAATCATCCCCATATTGCTACTTACATTTTAAAATCAAAGAATACATGCAAATTATAAAACATGCATAAAGTTTAAAGAATAACCCACCAACCAGCTTAGGAAATAGACCCAGGGTATCTTTGAAGCCCCCGTGTACCCCCGCGCGGACTCCCACTTCCCACAGAAGCCACCACTGTCCTGATTTTTATGCTCACCCTTCTCTTTCCTTCTTCTTTGTATCCCTGTACAATATTTGTGCAGCCCTACACGCTGTTGAACTGTAATAAATAGGACTGCAACTTTATTCTCGTTCCATACTGTGTTGCCACAATGCACCCGTCATTTCACACAGCTGTGACTCATTTGTCATCATGTGTATTAGTCTGTAGTATGACAATATATTTGTTCACACTACTTCGAAGTAGACATTCTAGTTTATGTTTTCTGCTATTTCCAAAAAAATTCTCCAACGAACATCTAATATAGTTCTCTCGGTATGTGGGCAAGAGGTTCCAGGAGACCTAAATCGAGGAGCGGGATTGGTAGGCCACTGGACAAGATCTCCGCCTCATGGGGTACCACACAATTAGTGCCCAGAGTGCAACCCCCCAACACTCTGCTATTATCGGGACATTTTTTCATCTGGTAGGCATTTCAAACATCTCCCAATGGCTTTTAATCTGCATTCCCTTGATTATTCACACAGTTGAGTGGCTTCTCATAGATTTATTACTCATGCATGTCTCCCCTTAATCAAATCACCCATTCAAGTTTTCGCCCACTCTCAGCAGGGTCCTTTTTCTCCTTATTGACTGGTGGAAGTTCTTGTGCATTTTTGTATGGGCTGCCAGGTGAAAGCGGTGCAGAACCTTCTCTCACTCATGATACACAGATATCTAAATCTACCCAACTTTTCCTTTGTATTTTGTGATTTTTGAATCATACGAAATTCTTCCTTACTTTATTCTTGTGAAGATATTCTTTTGGAATGTTAAGAGTACATCCTCCTAGGGGGGCCTGGGTGGCTCAGTCGGTTAAGTGTCCGACTTCGGCTCAGGTCATGATCTCACGGTCCGTGAGTTCGAGCCCCGCGTCGGGCTCTGTGCTGACCGCTCAGAGCCTGGAGCCTGTTTCAGATTCTGTGTCTCCTTCTCTCTCTGATCCTTCCCTGTTCATGCTGTCTCTCTCTGTCTCAAAAGTAAATAAACGTTAAAAAAAAAATTAAAAAAAAAAAAGTACATCCTCCTATATTCTCTTCTAAAATTTGTATGTCTTGCTGTTTGCATTTTAAACCATATGCGGCTAAGGTTTCTGTGTGGCGTAAGGCGTCCTTTCCCCACTGCAGAGCCAGCTCGTTCGTATACCCCAGCGGTGTGTACACCCGGGTCTGTTTCTGGGCTCCCAGTTCTGCTCGGATGACCAATTTGTCTATGTGCTAGCACCACACTGTATCAGTTACTCAAGATCTACAATAAGGTATATATTCCTACCTGGTTTTCTCCTTTAGGAGCATTTTTGCTATTCTTTCATTTGTCTATATAATTTTTAGAATCAACTTTTAGGTTGCGCTCACACACAATGGGCTTTTGACAGGAATTGCATAAAATCCCAAAGATCAGTTTGGGGCAAATATACATCCTTGTGATATTGAGACTTTCTTTTCTTTTTATAATTTTTTTAATGTTTACTTATTTTGACAGAGAGACAGCGTGCGAGTGGGGGAGGGGCAGAGAGAGAGGGAGACTCGGAATCTGAAGCAGGCTCCACGCTCCGAGCTGCCAACACAGAGCCCAACTCGGGGCTCGAACTCAAGAACCATGAGATCATGACCTGAGGTGGAGTCGGACGCTTAACTGAGCCACCCAGACGCCTGAGGCTATCAATGCATTAGCAAAACCTGTTTCTTCATCTATTTGAGTGGTCTTTAATTTATTTTAATAAAGTTTTATCACCTTCTCCATAAATTAGGTCCAGCACAATTATATGAGCTCTATTCTGAGATCCTTTAACTTTTCCATGCTATATTAGAGGATTCCATTTTTAAAGTCCAATTTCCTATTGCTTATTTTAAAAAATGCAGTCCCCTGTGTATATTGCTTTTGTATAAGCAACATTGCTAAATTTTCTGATTAATTCTAACAATTCATTGTTAGATTTCTTTACATTTTCTATGTAGATAATATTGAAATACTAAGTTTCATTTCTCCTTCTCCAATTCTTGTATCTTGTGTTTCTTTTTCTTATCTTCTGTGCCAGCTGGCACAATGATGTCCAGAAACGTGACAGTGGGCACCCTGTCTCGTTCCTCATCTTAAAATACTTTCAACCTTTCACCATGAAGTATGATGTTTGCTATGTCCTTTAGAAAAAGTAGGTACCCTTTGTCAGATTAAGAAATCCTCCTCAAGTCTTAATTTCTAGGAGTTTTTACCATGAATACATGATGAGTCCCATCAAATGCCTTTTCTGCATTAGCATGATCATCTGATT